TTTTTAAGATGGAGTCTTACTCAGCCCAGGCTGGAGAGCAGTGCCACAATCTCAGCTCACCACAACCTCTGCCTCCCGGGTTCAAGCGATTCTCCTGCTTCATTCAGCCTCCCAAGTAGCTGGGACTACAGGTGTGCACTACCATGCCCAGCTAACTTTTGTATTTTTAGTAGAGATGGAGTTTCACATGTTGGTCAGGCTGGTCTTGAACGCCTGACCTCGTGATTTGCCTGCCTTAGCCTCCCAAAGTGCTGGGATTACAGGCGTGAGCCACCTTGCCCTGCCAGGTGATGATTTCTTAAGACACTTAAAGCACAGCAAAAGAAAATAATTGGACTTCATCAAAATTAACTTGTGCTTTGAAGGGATACCATCAAGAAAGTGAAAGACAACCCATTGAATGGGAAAAATGTTTGCAAATCATTTATCTGATAAAGTTAGTATATCTAGAATCTACAAGGAATTCCTATAACTCAATAATAAAAGGATAAATAACCAAAAATTTTAAATGGGTAAAGAATGTGCATAGACTTTTCTCCAAAGGAGATATGCAGAAGGCCATAAAACACATGAATATATGTTCACATCAGCTATCCAGAAAATGCAGATCAATATGACAATGAAATATTACACCTGCTGGGACAGCTATTATAAAGATACGGAGGCCGAGTGTGGTGGCTCACACCTATAATCCCTGCACTTTGGGAGACTGAGATGGGTGGATCATCTGAGGTCAGGAGTTCGAGACCAGCCTAGCCAACATGATGAAACCCCGTCTCTACTAAAAATACAAAAAAATAGCTGGGCATTGTGGCACATGTCCCAGCTACACAGGAGGCTGAGGCAGAATGCTTGAACCCAGGAGGCAGAGGTTGCAGTGAGCCGAGATTGGGCCACTGCACACCAGCCTGGGCAACAAGAACAAAACTATGTCTCAAAAAAAATAAAGAAGACATGGCCAGGCACAGTAGCTCATGCCTCAACTCCCAGGATTTTGGTAAGCTGAGGCGGGAGGACTGCTGGAGCCCAAGAGTTCAAAACCAGCCTGGACGATAAACATAGTAAGACCCCCATCTCTGGGAAAAAAAAAAAAAAAAAAAAAAAGAAGACATAGTATTGGCAAGAATGTGGAGAAATTAGAAACCTCATACACTTTAGTTGGTGAAAATGTGAAATAGTCCTGCTAGTGCAGCAGCTTTGGAAAATAGCTGGGCAGTTCCTCAAATGTTAAATACAGTTACCTATGACCTACCAACTTGTACTCCTAGGCATATACCCAAGAGAAACGTAAACGTCCACACAAAAATGTGTACACAAACTTCATTTATAATAGCCAAAAAGTGAGAAAAAGCCTAAATGTCCATCGACTGATTAATGAAAAAAATGTGCTATAACCATGAGATGGTTCATATGGTAAGTGTATGTTTAACCTTGTAACAAATTGCCAAAGCTTGCAAACTGACTCGTTTTGCATTCTGGCCAGCAATATATCAATGTTTCCGTTGCTCTCCTTCTTTCCCAGCATTTGGCATTGTCAGGATTTACTTCTGTTTTCAAGTAGCCATTCTAATAGGTGCCTAGAATGTAATTTTCACTTGCATTTTCCTAATAACCACTGATGTGGAGCCCCCTTTTCATTTGCTTATTTGCCATTGTGTAACTTCTTAGGTGAAATGTCAGTTCAAGTCTTTTGTTCATATTTTGGAAGATTGGCTCTTTTCTTATTGAGCATTAGTTACATATTCTGGATATAAGTGCATTATCAGATGTGTTTGGCAATTATTTTTTTTTCTCAGTCTGGCTTTTTAAATTAAAGATCTTTTTTATTTTTATTTATATATTTTTTTAAGATGGGGTTTCACCATGATGGCCAGGCTGGTCTTGAACTCCTGACCTCAGGTGATCCACCCACCTCAGCCTCCCAAAATGCTAGGATTACAGGTGTGAGCCACTGCACCCAGCCTTAACTGTCTTTTGAAAAGCAGATATAATTAATTTTGGTAAGTCCAATTTTTCTATTTTTTTCTTTTTGGGATCTTAATTTTATATCTAAAATCTTTGCATAACCCATGGTCACATTTTTCTTAGGTTTTCTTCTCAACATTTAGTAGTTTTAGGTTTTACATGTAAGCTATGATTCATTCTCAGTTAACTTTGGCATATGAGTTGAAGTTCTTTTTTTTGTTTTGAGACTGAGTCTTGTTCTGTCGCCCAGGCTGGAGTGCAGTGACACAATCTTGGCTCACTGCAACTCCACCTCCCACGTTCAAGTGATTCCTGTGCCTCTCGAGTAGCTGGGACTACAAGTGTGCGCCACCACGCCTGGCTAATTTTTGTGTTTTTAGTAGAGATGGGGTTTCACCATGTTGGCCAGGCTGGTCTCAAATTCCTGACTTCAAGTGATCTGCCCACCTCGGCCTCCCAAAGTGCTGAGATTACAGGCGTGAGCCACTGCACCTGGCCTTGAGGTTCATATTTTTACATATGGATATGCCAGCACCATTTGTTTAAAAAACTATCCCCATTGAACTACTTTTGTACCACTGTAAAAAAAACAACTATATATACAGGGGTCTATTTCTGGGGGTCTCTGTCCTCTTCCACTGATAAATAGGATCTATCATTTCACCACTAACACATTGTCTTAATTACTCTAGTTTTATCTGTCTTGAAATTAGGTGGGAGTTTTCCAACTTTGTTCTTTTTTCTTTTTTGAGATGGAGTCTTACTCTGTTGCCCAGCTGGAATGCAGTGGCACGATCTTGGCTCACTGCAACCTCCGCCTCCCAGGTTCAAGCGATTCTCCTGCCTTAGCCTCCTGGGTAGCTAGGACTACAGGTGCATGCCACCACACCCAGCTAATTTTTGTATTTTTAGTAGATGGGTTTTCACCGTGTTGGCCAGGATTGTCTCAATCTCTTGACCTCGTGTTCCACCTGCCTTGGCCTCCCAAAGTGTTGGGATTATAGGCATGAGCCGCCATGCCCAGCCCCTTGTTCTTTTTTCAAAAATGTTTTGGCTGTTCTAGTTGTCCCTTTCTATATAGGTTTTATCATCAGCTTGTTGATTTCTATACAAATTCCTGCTGGGATTTTGACTGGAGTTGTGTTGAATCTATAGATCAATTTGGGGAGAATTGACATCTTAATAATATTGAATCTTCTAATCCATGAAACATGGTATATCTTCTTTTTATAAGGTTCTTTTATTTGTTCATCAGTTTTTTACTTTTCAGCACAGATCTTACATATTTTTGTTAGATTTCATGTTTTCTGGTGCTACTGTGTGATGTAAAAACTTGTTTCTAAATATTCATTGCTACTGTGTAGAAGTAGTCAACTTTTGCTTACTGATTTTGCTAAATTCACTTATTAGTTCTAGTAGTTTTAGATTATTTGGTTTTTCTGTGTAGGCAATCATATCATTTACAAATAGATATTGTCTTACTTATTTCCAATCTGTGGGCCTTTCTCCAACCTGCCTTATTGCACAGTGAACTACAGTGTTGAATGAATAATGCCTTGCTCCTAGTCTTAAAGGAAAGCATTCTACACCATTTGTATGTTAGCTGTAGGCTTTTTTTGTAAATGGTCTTAATCAGGCTTATTCTTAGATCTCTGAAGACTTTATTTTTTTGTTTATTGAATCATATATGGCTGTTGAATTTTACCAGATATTTTTTTCTGCACTTTTTTGGGGAAAAAAGCAACTTTTGAGGTAGAAGTCACAGAACCATACTATTCACCCTCTTAAGCATATAGTGGCCGGGCACGGTGGCTCATGCCTGTAATCCCAACACTTTGGGAGGCTGAGGCAGGTGGATCACCTGAGGTCAGGAGTTAGAGACTAGCTTGACCAATATGGTGAAACCCGTCTCTACTAAAAATACAAAATTAGCTGGTGTGGTGGCATGCGCCTGTAGTCCCAGCTACTCGGGAGACTGAGACATGAGAATTGCTTGAACCTGGGAGGCTGGGTTGCAGTGAGCTGAGATAATGCCACTGCACTCCGGCCTGCACAACAGAGTGAAACTCCATCTCAAACAAACAAAAAGCATATAATTCAGCAGTTTTTCCTATATCCACAGTCATTTTCTGCAACTTTTAAGATGATCATTTAGCTTTTCTTCCTTTGTACCTGTGACTTTATAATTGATTTAGAATAGAAACTAAGAGTGTCTTAAATGCTCTCACAAAATTTGCCATTTAGAGGGATATTTTTAATTAAAAAAAAAAAATGCCTTGGCCGGGTGCAGTGGCTCATAGCCAAGGTGGGTGGATCACATGAGGTCAGGAGTTCGAGACCAGGCTGACCAACATGGAGAAACCCGTCTCTACTACAAATACAAAATTTAGCTCAGTGTGGTGGTGCATGCCTGTAATCCCAGCTACTCGGGAGGCTGAGACAGGAGAATCACTTGAACCTGGGAGGTGGAGGCTGCAGTGAGCCGAGATCGCACCATTGCACTCCAGCCTGTACAACAAGAGGGAAACTCTGTGTCAAAAAAAAAAAAAAAAAGAGGCCTTAGAGCTTTCATCTCATAAAATCACTTAGACAAAAAAGAGTTCACCTTTGGTCTACAGATCATGATAAAATGTGCATTAAAGAAGCCCTAACAAGAAAAGCCTTAAGCAATTTACATAATGAAAATAACTCCAATAGTAAAAGATTTATAGTTGATTGCCTTTCCTCTGCTTTGGGTGGCCACACCAAATTTCCTATATAAAATGCTTAATAGATGCAATATGATCAAAGTTATGGCTGGAGGTCCTGCTGTGAAGCTTCATTTATATAACAAGTATTCATTTTCTTAACGATTTGTGTTATAGAACAATAGAAAACTTTTCTAAAAGTGTTTTTATTCACATTTTACATAAGGTTGAAAAAATGTCAGTTGTCCACTTGCCAGAAAATGGGGAGCTAAAGACTATGTCCTTCCCACCTCACCAATTTTGCCGTTGTACCTGTAACATTAAGGTTCTGTTTCCCAGCCTCCAGAGATAAGACCTACAGGTTGTGTTTGGTGTTTCAGAAAAAAAGGAAACTAAGAAAGATGGCCATCATAAGAATATCTCACATTAAAAGAGAGATAGTAGATTGATTTTCTGGGTATTTTTGTTTTTGAGACAGGGCCTCACTCTGATTGACCAGGTTGCAGTGCAGCGGCACAATTTTGGCTCACTACAGCTTCAACCTCCCCAGGCTCAGGTGGACCCTCCCACCTCAGCCTCCTGAGTAGCTAGGACTGCAGGCATGCGCCATTTAATTTTTTTTTTTTTTCTTTTAGTAGAGACAAGATTTCAGCCTGTTGCCCGGGCTGGTCTAGAGCCCCTGGATTGAAGTGATCCACCCACCTTGGCCTCCCAAAGCGCTGGGATTACAGGCATGAGCCACCATGCCCAGCTGAGTTTCTACTCTTAAAAGAAACAGTGGAAAGAAAGAGAACACATATTCTCATTTCAAAGCAATTTATGTTAGTAATAACTGAGCAAAATGATAGAATTTTTTAGCTGTGTGTTTTCAGAAGTAATGTAAAATTTACTTCATCAATTTAAAAGGTTTCTTGCATATGAAATGGTTAAAGTGATGTTATTAAACTAAAGAAAAAATGCAATACCTTTTTTTTTACAGAATAGTATAAATGTTTATTTTCTGTATGATTTACTTTGCTGTCCTGTTTTTACAATATAGAAAAGTGTATTCTTTGAATAGCTCTAGTAAATATAAATTTAATCTTTCTACTTTGGGATGTAAATAGAGCTAAAAAATTATATACCCAACCCTCCCCAAATAGTCTTTTAAAATCATTGAATTAATGTGGCTGTTCATCTTGTTCAGCAATTTGATGCAAATGCCTGAATACAAAAAGTTGAGTAAGTACTACACAGGAAGGAAAAGGCTTCATATTTTAGATAGATTTTTGAAAATCAGAAAAACTAGTAGCATTTGATTGCACCTTGAAATTTTTACAAGCAAAACATTCGTAAGCAATGCCATCATACATAATCTACAATTGTAATCAAAATTTCACAAACATTTTCTGCACACTGTATATAAATACACATCACAAAGGTGCAGTTAGAATTAACACAGAGTATGTACAAAATGAACAAAGTTTAGGTTAAGACCAAAAACTTATTGCAATCTTTTGAAAAATAACTTGATTAATTATTTTGTCCTCTTACACTAATTTACATTTATACAAATTTTAATTAAACATACTACATTGAGGTGCTAAGAATGTTTGCACTATCTACATTTAAAGTTACTGCACTATAATTTTATAAATCCAAATTTAAAAGGAAGATACTTTAGTGAATAACGGAATCCTCTTTTAGATTACTTAATTTCTATTGCCTATATCTTGTGAGTTCATATGAACATATATACACACTGAATACATACAACTATAGAGTCCTTGTAGGAAATGCAATAATTATACACTAATTACCGATGATTAAGGTACCTAATAAAATGCCTGAATTCCAACATGGTTTTTTCTTGTCATAAAATCAGGAGTCCTATCACAACAGGCTCTTAAATTCATAGAGTTTTTGAATTACTGAAAATGATTTAGGTTATTTTAGTAAATATAGGAAAAGAGTAGTCCTTCACCTGACCAAATAACTGGCTGAAAACAATGCCATATTAAACTTCCCTTATAAAAAGAAATCCCACTACAGTTTTGAAAATTTTGTTAAGAGGCCCATTTCTGTACATCAAGTAAGAGTCATGAATTGGTTTGAAACCTTAGTTCAAAAGTCTATAAAAAGAACTGATTGTACAGATGAAAACTTCTCTAAATTCATCTTTTACAGCTTCCATATTCTTTATTTCTCCACCCATGCCAAATTTTATACTTGATTATTATGTGAGGTTCTATATTATCACTACATAATATGTTTACTTCTATTTATATGCACCTATCATTTTAGTAGTACCCAGTAACCACTTTGACAATTTATTACTTTAAATACCTACTACCTCTTTGAAAGAAAATGGAGACAGCCGAGAGCATCTGTTAGCCATTCCTTATTATATAGAAACACACTGCTCATCCTCTGAGATTTACTGTCCTTTAATATTTTATGTCTTTTTAAAATAACTTTAAAAAAGTTTAAAAGTGTGCCTGGGGATTGTTTTCCCTTCTGACATTCCCAAAGAGACAACATGATATTATTCCAGAATCTGCCCTAAAAGTCTGATTTTTCTTTAAAAGATAGTGCTTTTCTAAATAAAAAAAAAAAAAATGTCATTTGTTTCGTAAGAATTTGTTTATGTAACATTCTATCTGCATATATTCGAGATCAAGTCCCAAAGAATAACTGAGCGCTAACCACGGCTGCTTTGGCTTTTTCTACTAACAAAGTCATACAACACCATACATTATAAATTATAGTCATTTATAAACATTTTTTGTCAAAGGTATAAGAAAGAAAACATCTAATTCTTAAGAAACCCAAGCAAATTAAAAAATCTATATAATACAATAAAGAAAAATTCAATTTAGAAGGGGCATAAGCAGATTTAACTAAGATTTAAAATGTACTAATTTCCTCATTTAAAATTTCTTCTCCTTCAGTATTATAATTTCAGGTCTTTTACAAGGACTGAATTAAAATACAGTAATTGTTTTTCTTCCAGAAAATCAAGTGTCCCTGCACCTTAAATTTTCTGTACAGTTCCATTTATCAGTCTTTTGTGCAAGAGTTAGCAACTCATGGCACAAGGGTCACTTTTTGCCTTTCCTGCAGAGTTGATGACACTCATCAAACATCGTCCGAATTCCTCAAGTATCATCCGTTCCGCTGCTGCCTTTGATTTTCCCTTCTTGTCTGCCTGCTCTGCCTGGGCAAGGAGGCAATTACATGTGGCTTCAGCTACTTCCTTAGTTACAAATGTAAATGGCAATCTGAAATGATTTTTGAGAGAGAAATTGGTGGTGTTAAATAACAACAAAAGTGGCTAACATTCTTTCATCTGGAAATCTCTACTGACACTTTCACAGTTCACCAGCAGAATGAGCATCACAATTTACACAGTGAGCACAAGCACATCCTAAAAAGAGCTTTAACAAGTTAGATCTGGTTTTATTATTCACATATTGTAAGAATATTTTTCAGGAAATACAACATTTAACATAAAATACGTGATATATTACCTAGGCAAGGTTATGTGGTAACTAAAAGATATAGTCTACATGAAGACTAGAATTTCTTTAACTAAATCCTCCCAAATCATGAATGTATGCCCTCCGTAAGTTCAATCGTTATTTACTGCTGTTGCTCCAGTCTAGAATAGTGCATGACACATAGAGACACTACATGAATAGTTGCTGAATTAATGAATAACATTGGGAACTGACAGCACTATCTCTTGGACAAAATGGAAAATAAAGCACTTTACTACAGTCACAGATAATGTTTGTAGAAAACAAGAAAACATACCAAAATTCTGCATTGTTCTATCACAACAAAACAAAATGGAGAAACCAAATGTTGCTCTGTACAGAGCTGCATTCATAAAGACCAGAGCTATGGAGGATTAAATTGGTGCAACCCATGGTGATGATGACTACATTTGTAGCCAAGTCTTTTTTTTTCCAGACAGAGTTTTGATCTTGTTGCTCAGGCTAGAGTGCAGTGGCATGATCTCAGCTCACTGCAACCTCTGCCTTCCAGTTTCAAGTGATTCTTCTGCCTCAGTTTCCAGAGTAGCTGGGATTACAGGTGCCCACCACCAGACCCGGCTAATTTTTCTATTTTTAGTAGAGATGGGGTTTCACCATGTTGGCCAGGCTGGTCTAACTCCTGACCTCATGATCTGCCTGCCTTGGCCTCCCAAAGTGCTGGGATTACAGGATGAGCCACCGTGCCTGGCCTCAAGTCTTAGTCTGTGACAGATTAATTCAAGCAACATAATCTAACCACTAACTCAACAATCTGTGAGTAAGCAGTCCCTAAGAGAAGTATACTAAACAATGAAGTCTGAAATTAAGGCTCACAATGGCAAGAGAGGGTGATTGAGAATTCAGGCTGCCATGTAGCTGTATAGGAATCTTTAATATACAAACAAGCACTTTAAACTAGAAAATACTAATTCAAGGTTTTGGTCACTTGAAACAAGCCTGTTAACATGCTGGCATAACTTTATTTATTTTTGGCATAACTTTTTAATACAAGTTTTTAATACATAGTTTTGATTATAATATATAATTTTATAATTTTGTTTTCATTTCATATCATAAACGTCTTCCCAAGTTTAAAAATTACAAATATTTTACTGTAGCAATATCTTTGACCTCCATGTAGAGATTAGATTCAATACTCTAAAGACCAGAAAGGATCCCAGGTTATAAGCCTCATTAAAGTGCCTGCCCATTTCCACTTTATTCAGTCAAGAACCATTTGCTGCTTATATTCCAATGATAAGAGTTCTTTAGAACCAGTATCTTAAGGCAGGGCATGGTGGCTGATGCCTATAATCCCAACACTTTGGGAGGCCAAGAGAGTAGATCACCTGAGGTGAGGCATTGAAGACCAGGCTGGCCAACATAGTGAGACCTCATCTCTACTAAAAATACAAAAAATTAACTGGGTGTGGTGGTGCATGCCTGTAATCCCAGCTACTCAGGAGGCTGAGGCAGGAGAATTGCTTAAACCCAGGAGGTGGAGGTTGCAGTGAGCTGAGATCGTGACACTGCACTCCAGCCTGGGCGACAGAGTGAGACTTCATCTCATAAAGAAAAAAAAAAAAAGCCTTATTTTTATAAACACTGGATCTCATTTTCAACTTGGGCATTTTAAATAATTTAAAATTTAAATAATTTAAAATAATTTAAAAACCTTGCCATTTGCAAGGTTCATTCCATTTAATAACTCCTCAAATTAACCTCTAATAAGCTTGCTAATACCAGTCCAATCCAAATCACAAACCTATGTTGTATCAGGTCTTGACAAACACTGGAGATGTTCTGGACATGCCTTGTTCCCCACAACCACCTGATATGGGCTATTTTAAGGGTAAGAAAATTGAGGCTCAAAGAGATGAAGTACTTGTCTAATTCACAAACTACTAAGTAGCACAGATAGTCTACCTGACTTTAGAGGTCACGCTTTTCTACTCCAGAGCTTAGCAGATAAAGGAGATAACAAAACGGAGCAGCACTATTACAGTATGGTACGATGGGTGGCCCAGCAGGATGGGGAAAGTGCTCCAAGAAATGGAAAAGGCAAGAGAAGGTAAGAAAATGCAAAAACATGAATATTTACACTTTCATCGAGACATATGAAACACTGGTTTTCTTTGGGGTTCCTCAAATTACATAATTACCTCATCTTAGGCAGAAATTAAGCACAATGGACTAAATCATTACTGTACATTTTGGACCTGCACAATAATCCAACAGTACTTTCTGTTAGCTTTAAATTCTACAGAAACAGTAGTTTCTGTTACCTTTAAACATCTACAAGTTAACTGAAGATGGAAAGAAAGTGCAAAAATCAGGTTTGCAACAACCAAAAGTATAAGCTCAACTTGGCTCCCAAAAATAAACTTTACCAAAAGTGAGTATTTGGGAAATACTATAAAAAGATTGAAATACTGACTTACTTTCCACCGCCACTATTTAAAGCTGGTGCTGGCCTAGTAAGCAAGTCTGAAATTTGAGAGGATAACTTCGTCTTCGCTGCTGTTTGTTGTTGTACCCTTACTTCAGCTGCATCTGCCAAGTGCATCAGTGTCTTCCTTTCCGGGCTTTCTTCAAAATTCTTACAGCCAACACATTTGCATATTGAGGAACACATTATTTTTGCCTAAAAGATTTACAAAAGAAAAGTTTCCAAATCAAAACCAAAATACATTACTTTGAGTAGATGCCACAATCAAATCACCAGATAATAGCATTAACTGGTCAACTGGTAAGATTAGATGGAAGCATCTCTGGCTGACAAACACTAACTACAAATGTGGGAGCTAGGTTAGGTACTCTTAAGTCTGATGGTCGCTGTATAATGTTTGTGGCTGTGTCCTCCCATGCCAGTTTTCCCCCACTATGAATACAGATTTCCTTCAGATATGAGTAACACATGTTTTCCACAAACATGAATGATACATTAAAATATCGAAAATAAGACGAGGCGTGGTGACTCATGCCTGTAATCCCAGCACTTCGGGAGACTGAGGCAGGCAGATCACGAGGTCAAGAGATCGAGACCACCCTGGCCAACATGGTGAAACCCTGTCTCTACTAAACATACAAAAATTAACCGGGCGTGGTGGCGCATGCCTGTAATCTCAGCTCCTTGGAAGGCCGAACAGGAGAATTCGCTTGAACCCGGGAGGTGGAGACTGCAGTGAGCTGAGATCGTGCCACTGCACTCTGTCCTGAGCAACAGGGCTAGACTCCGTCTCAAAAAATAAATAAATAAATAAAAATAAAAAATAAGGGTCATCCTGAATCCAGCCACCTCAATCAAATCATCATTAACATATAGGTGATCTCCCATTTATGCATATGTGCATATGTATATAATTTCACATTAAAGGGATTTCATAGATGCTATTTTTATTATTCTATTGCGCTATTTTTAATCTGAAGAGGGAGTTCGGGAGGGACTTCAGATTCCCCACACCCTTCAGTAACTCATATGAAACTAGGGTGTATTTTACATTTTATATAAATAAACATTTTCATGTAAAAATATGTCAAAAATTATTTATATAAAATCCTAGACCTTTTGTATATATATTAACAAATATAGAACTCTTTCATTTTTTAGTTTGTTTTCAAAATCATATACTGTACCAGCTTTTCTGCATTTTGCATTTCTTATAACTCATGGAATCACTGCAAAGTCATCTGGCATAGCTTGAATTCATTCTCTTTAATGGGTGGGTGTAAATTTCTGGTATGATGTGGCAATTTTATTGGGCATTCATTTCCCTATTGATGGGTGTTTATTTTTGTTTCCACTTCTTAGGTACTACAAATGATGCATAAAAAGATTTTTTGGTATACAGTATCCCTTTTTATTTTTCTTAATTAGATTTCTAGAATTGGGCTCACTGGTTAACAGGCCTGTTTAATTTTAAGAGATGGAGCCAGATTGCTTTTTCAAAAGGCTGTAACACCTCACATCTCATCAGCAAGGTGTAAAGGAAGGCTTTCCCACATTCCTCCAACAATGGATATTATAACTCCTTTTAACATTTTATAATCTGATGATGGGGGAGATAAAGTAAGATTTCATTGTTCTTTAATTTACATTTTCCTGATTTCAAATGAATTTGAGTATTTTTTTGTCAGCTGCATTTTCTTCAGTAAACCCATGTCTATACAAATATATAAAACTGTCCCTTCTGTCTATAGAACCTAGCAAGATAAACGGACTGAATTATAAATACATTTACTCTACTCCTTTCTTATAATACACCAATAAATTTCATTTACCAAAGGAATTGGATATAAGTTTGTGTTAACTGTGTTACTGTGATCCTGACTGGGAATCTAACTAAAGCAACACTTAATAAGCACCTAGCGATGAAGAGAGAAAATTCCTGACCTCAGAGTGGGGAAGACATACCAATATTGTTAATTTAGATTATATATATATAGGGTTTTAAAAATTCTATTTATATTTTAAGAACCATAAGAAAGATATTAATAATGTGTAACAGGAGCTCAGGATGGAGAAATAGCAATGACACTTACCTTGGCTAATTTAACTTCCCCTGTACAAAAAAAAAAAGATGTGGAGGGGAGGAAAAAGGTCACAAGAAAAGATGCAACCCTGAAATAAGGTGGGGAGCCATTCATGCAATCAATAAGCCTATAGGCGTTGGAAGGAAACATGAATGGGTTGTCCAGATGCAAACCAACAGGACTAAAAAGCCAATTTGGCTGAAGAACAATGTGTCAAAAGAACAACAGTTCAACACAAAATGTCAGATAAGCCCACAGCTAATTTGCAGCCAATTACCCACTGCTATCCATTGTTTAGTATATTCTAAGTTTCTCCATTTTTTGGTACATAACTTTTGGAATGATAAATTTGTTACTAGACAGTGTATCTGTCTTGACACAATGTCATCAAAATAGGTATGGCAAGGCTCTGTCTTCTAACACTTTTCAACCAGTACAGTACCTTTTCTACTTCTATTAATTTACAGATTTATTAACCAGTTCAATTAAATGATTAGTTCATATATGTCTGAATTTCATATGCCCAGCATGTATTGATTGTTCAATGCCATATACATGAAAGGGTCACTTTCCCCTTCTGATCCAACTTTATATCAATTTCCACATTCTCAAAAGAAGGGTTAATTTTTACATGTTCGTAACAACTTTTGTATGATATGGTTTCTAAACGCAAGCAAGCTATTTTATCAGGTATTCAAAAGACTAAAAGATTCCAACACTAGATAAAAACTGGCTTGTTGGATTTGGAGATGTTACTTAAGATAGTTTAAAAAATAAACTTGGAACCGGATGCAGTGGCTTATGCCTGTCATCTCAGCACTTTAGTAGGCCGAGGTGGGCGGATCACAAGGTCAGGAGTTCGAGACCAGCCTGACCAACATGGTGAAACCCCATCTCTACTTAAAATACAAAAATTAGCCAGGTGTGGTGGCACACACCTGTAATCCCAACTACTCAGGAAGCAGAGGTAGGAGAATCACTTGAAGCCAGGTGGCAGAGGTTCAGTAAGTCGAGATCTCACCACTGCACTCCAGCCTGAATGGCAGAGCAAGACTCTGTCTCCAAAAAAAATTAAAAATTAAATAAATAAATAAACTTGTGACAGTAGCTCATACCTCTATTCCTAACACTTTGGGAGGCTGAGGCAGGTGGATTACTTGAGTTTGAGACCAACCTGGCCAAATGGTAAAAACCTGTCTCTACTAAAAAAAAAA